TTGGGAAGTCATGTTGAGGTTGTACACGACATTGGTGAGGCCTGTTCTGGAGTACTCTGTCCAGTTCTGGTTGCCCTGTTGTAGGAAAGATATTATTAAGCTGGAGAGGGTTTAGAAGGTATTTATCAGGATGCTGCGGGATATGGAAGGTTTGAGTTATAAAGAAAGGCTGGATAGAATTATAGCGTCATAGAGATATACAGCTTGGAAACAGACCCTTCGGTACAACTCGTTGATACTGACCAGATATTCTCAATTAATCTCGTCCCATTTGCCAGCTTTTGGCCCATATCTCTCCTTCCTATTCATATATACGGCCATTTGCCTTTTAAATTTTGTAATTGTATCAGCCTCCACTGGGCACATAGGCTGGGACATTTTACACTGGAGCGAAAGAAGTTGAGAGGTGACCTTACAGAAGTTTCTAAAATCATGAAGGGTACAGATAAGGTTACTGGCAGGTGTCTTTTCCTTAGGATGAGGGATTTCAAGACTAGAGTGAGAGGAAAGAGATTCAAAAAAGATATGAGGAGCAAATTCTTTACACAGAGTGGCTCGTGTAAGGAAGTGGTGGATGTAGGTACATTTACAACATTTAAAAGGCACTTCAATAAGTACATGAATAGGAAAGGTTTGGAGGGGTATAGGTCAGAAGCAGGCAGGTGGGACTAGTTCAGTTTGGGATTATGTTCGGCATGGACTGGTTGGATCAAAGGGTCGGTTCTGGTGCTGTATGACTCTATGTCAGCATGTAGCCCAATCAAACATTTTATTTGGTAATAGAAATGTAAAGTAGTTTCTCAGTTTATATTTCAGAGATTTTTTTAACTGTACATAATAATTCAGTGTCTGCTTGTTTCCGCTGAATCTAAGTGTTCCTGATATGTTTCTGGTTCAGCAGCAGCCAATGTTAAACAGACATTACATTTCAGCAAGAGATGAAGGTAATGAGAATTTCAGTTTCAAATACTGCTACATTTCCATTTACACCATGCAGAAGTGGAGCAACGTCATGAAGCATTGATTTTCATGCTGCAGATGTCTCTCACGTATTATCTGTATTTCTTCTCCATAAGGATAGGCTTTCAGTGAGCACCAAATGCAGGAGACATCCATGTAGCCTATCAGACCCACTCCTTTGACAGTTGATGTGCAGTCTATAGTTATCATGGATTCTATGACACTTAATACAAGTACTTCCAGTTCCCTGAAAGGAATTACAAAAAAACTGAACATTAATCTACAGCATCCCTCACATCGCTTTCTCTGTGGACTTTGTCGTCTCCAAAATAACCTCTTTGCCAGACCCCAGAGTACGGACAGTCATTGCTTGAGCACTTGTTTTTGTCAACTATGTCCATTTCTAATTCTCATTACTACCAAATAGTTATACACTTACTCCTTAATGGAGGTCAGTTGCTGTTGCTAGGAGACTGTCGGATTGCAGTATGATGGAGAGGAAGTTTTTTTGTTTTTCTTCAGTCTCACTGAGGGTTTGTTCATCCCAGCCCTACGGCTCCAGTATTAATCTGAAATTGGTATCCAAGCAAAGGGTATCTATTACGTGAGCTCACTCATTCACTGCTTACACATCTCAGCCTGAGGTCATATCTTCCACCAAGCTTCTTTCCTCTGGTAAGAATACATTAACCTGAACCACTGATTTTCCCCTGATAATATAAGTTCAAAGTTCCACAGTGTGGACCACAGAAGGAGGGACTAGATCTGCCAAGGGTAGTGAACATGGCCAAAGACACAAAATGATATCAAGTAACGCTTCAGGCAGGGCAACCTTTGCAGATTTAATGTCTTGGACTTTGGAAGGAAACTGAAAACTGAAACATAAAAATGATAATGTAATTGATAAAAATGTTCAAAATTGTTAAAGATTTTGATAGACATAGGTACTATTAGACACAAGAGGACCATAGGACTGCTCTCTCATTAGAGAGAGACACAGACAACTAGTGGTGAGTTTAACCTGAGGGTCACCATGACATGATAGTCACCAAAAAAAACCAACAGAGAGTTCAGAAGAAATTTCATTTTTACCCAGAGAGTTGTAAGAATGTGGAACCTGCACCCACAGGGAGAGACTGAGGTGAATAATATAGATCCAGATATGGAGAAGCTAGTCAAGTGTGTGAGGGAGAAGGGAATAGATGGTTACAACATGGATTTAGGTGCAGAAAGATGGAAGGGGGTCATGGGGTATGGATTGGTCAGGCTGAATGGCCTGTTCTCAGCTATTTATCCGACATAGAAATAGGAAGAAACAGATGATTGAAAGTGAGGGAAAAAAGAAAGAAAGAATGAGAGGAACAGCAAGAGAGCACAATTGTGTACAGTGATCATTGAGGAATGATGTGTGCACATGACTGGGGAACCAATGTAGTAAATATGCTAATACTTTTATTGTTGTTACCCTTTTATCGTGTCTGCTTGCACCTCTTGCACATTGGAATAAATAGGAAACCACAGTGAATGAATCATATCACATGGTGGAATATTTATTGTATCTGTCTTAACTTTGAAGTCGGATTATAGTGTGGGGCCCCAGAAGAGAGATTCAGTGTTGACTATGAGGACATCTCTTTTACCCTCTCAGTGCAATGCTGTGGGGTCTGTCAGCATTGGTACATGTATTAGCCAGGTATCTGAATCATTCTATATTTTTAACCAAGCTGATTGTTTAGAGTTTAAGTATTTAATATTTTGCGCATTTTGAAATTAAATTCTGCATTACTTCTTGTTGAGTTCAAAAGGATATGATTTACCTGGTTCTGATTCACACTGAGTATTGTAGACATGGCTCATAAAGTTTCCCTATCTGGAGGCATGATGAAAATACGCTTTTGATTTTATTTTAGATTCTGCACAGCCCTTTATTTCTGACATGGCTGCACACACATGATAACTTGATGGGGCTTAACTAAGTTGTTGTTGAGCATTTACAGGGAACATTAAGACTCAAAAATATAACAGAGTTGGTGAATGGCTCTACAGACAGTGTGATTAACAAAAACATTACATAGAATTTGTAGCATAGAAATAAACTTCCTGTGATCTGCATCAACTTTCCCCCAACCTGTTTCATCCTTAACATTTCCCACATTACCGATCCACCCTGTCTTCCTGACTGCAGAGAATATGGCAGGGCCTGTCTGTAATCCCACCTTGTGCATGTATTATGAAGTAAGGTTTGATATAGAGCAGACGGCTTTAAACGTGTTCTTTATTGGTGAACAATGCCGCCATGTAAGAGGGTTCCAATAGTTAAACATTATCTAAACATTGGTCACTGCATTAGAAAGTTTGAGCTGTAATCAAAGACAGGTGTCTGTCAGAGTTAGGAATCTTTGGATAAATTGTCCATGGATTGTGTTGTCACCTGCCTCCCATGTGAAGGGTTAGCACCATCAGCACAAACAGAATGACTTCACTGAGCTCCCTACCCCCACTCCTTCAATCCTTAGCACCAGTCATCAATCTTGCATTTGCAGGTTTGTCTGCCCATGAGCTAGGGATTCATTTTGCATTCAGAATATTCCATGTGAACATAAATCCAAGACCAATTGCTTCGGAGCCATTGTAAACAACTGAATCAAACATACTCAGGAAAGGCTACCACCAGCTTGTCAAGTGTGGCACTTAATTTGTTGGTTCTTACCCCCATCACCTCTTGTTAAGTCCTGTCCAGGGAGTGATTCCATATTTAGGAGCGTAAAAGACCATTGTGCAGCCTCAGGTTCCGAACCGGAAATGGTGCTCATGCTAGGAGTGCAGGTTGGACCAACACCTGTGATATTGGTCTGGATTTTCTGGTATCCTGCTGCTGTTTCCAGTGAAACTGGGAGAAAGTATAATATGTTGGGTGCCTAGCCCAGCTCCTTCCTGCCCTCCCCAACTTGTTCCTTCCTCTTAATATGAGGGGGGGAATTGCTAGATAAAGCCCCTATTGATGCCCTAACTACCCAATAAGTGGCATTTAAAGAAAGGCCTTAATCCACCTCCACTTCCTTAAAAAATGAGCAGCAGCAAGTGGCCAGAGTCCGAAAGCCATTTTTGAAAAGACAGCAGTGAAACTGCCATCAATTAGGGGTCCATGTCACAGCAACTCCCAAGATGTCAGTCAGGCCACCCTCCCATTTTGTTCCTCCACTGTCTGCCTTTAAAACCCAGCCCTTCTGCTGTTGTCTTCCCCTCCGTAGGCTGTCCAACCCTGGCCCACCCTACAAGTGTAGCTTAGCTGCACACTGGGAGCACAAAATCACAAAGTTATCCTTTCAAAGTGAGAATTGAGTTGCACTGAAATGTCATGGTGAGGTTAAGTAAATCAAAGAGAATAGACGTGGTGTCACCTTTTTAGAAAAAATAATAGCGATGAAGTTAAGAGTTGTTGTATATTGGGTTAATGCCATATTCCTTATAAGTAACTTTTGGAAAATTCATTCTGCAGGTGTCATAAATACAAAATAGAAAATTAATGTTATGAAGAAATTGACAAGAGTTTGATTAATTTGACAATCTTAGCTTCGTATATCATTAGTGTAGAGCAACTTTAGATCATTGCTATAATTGTTAAGGACTCATTCCCACCTTTAATAAAGCACACAAATGTTAAAACTATATATGAGCCCGCAGGATCTAAATTGAATCCCAGTGTTGCACACTGACTGAGCTGTGGGACAATTTGCAAAATAAATGCTGCAGGATATTCCCTAACCGTGGAGAGAGTTGCAGTGAAGAAGCAGTCTGACAGCTCATAGACCCTGGGTAAGTTACTCATTAGCTTTTCCTCACAGTTCCCCACTTCATACTGATCCAAACATCAGGTACCCATTACAGTGAGTAAACGAGCTTCTTTACGACAAACTATATTTTATGTTGTCCATAAAAGCTATTAACTGCTGATGTCTTTGGAACTGTTCACCTGATGTAGAATTTGAGTTGCAATGCCCCGCATGAGCCCTAAAATCTGCTTTTCTTTTTATACACAGGTGAGAAGCAGTATTGTCTGGGCTACCCTGACCTGCAGTACAATTCAACCCCATCTTATGACAAGGAGGGTGAAATGATGCAGACCCGTTTCATGGACCAGGCTATCAACAATGCAATCTCGTACCTGGGGGCAGAATCATTGCGACCCCTCGTCCAGACAGCCCCTGCTCCCACCTCAGAAATGGTGTCTGTCATCAGCAGCCTCTACCCACTGTCTCTCACACGCTCTGATGCCCCAAATGGTCACGTGCGAGAAGCAGCCACAGAGAACAGTGGCTCCCAATTGAAAACAAAGACCTCTGAAAGAGGGGTGTCCCCCAGCAACAGTTGCCAGGACTCCACAGACACAGAGAGCAACCACGAGGAGCGACAGAGTCAGGCCTACCTACAGCATCAGATGATTGCACCCCGAGTCAGAAATGGGGTCCCTACCATCAAAGAGAGCCCAAAACCATTTGACATCATGAAAACAACAGGGGGGTTGGGTCGCGAGACGTTTAAGGTGATTACTAATGAGGGTGAACAGGTCAGAGTCTTCAAATGTGACCACTGTCGAGTACTGTACCTGGATTATGTGATGTTCACAATACACATGGGCTGCCATGGTTTTCGTGACCCTTTTGAATGTAATGTGTGTGGGTATCGCAGCCAGGACAGATATGAGTTCTCTTCTCATATAGCCAGAGGGGAGCATCGTTACTGCAGAAAATGAGCTGCAGAGATCAGATTCTATCCAGGACCAGACAGACCAAAAAAATTTTAGACCTCATGCTTTGCTTTCATACTTAATGCTGTGTTTCTGTGCCTTTGTGTGCACTCATCTGAAATCTATACACCTGCGATCAGGTAAAGGACATTTTATTGAGCATTACGTTGTAGCAGTAATGAACTCACCAAATAACATTTAAGCAACAATGCTGACTGTGGAGAGACAGTAAAATATTATCCAGACACAAAGCTGATTGGATCTGAACATTGTACAAAATGTCTTCTGAAAGAACAGTGAAGTTAACTAACCAGACCTGTTGATATTGTGAGAGTTTCTGGGAAGACAGAGGAATTAGATTGAGATGCCATCCCATTGTAAGTCATTTTCCTAACAGCAACTGAAGGACAATGAGGTCTCACCGTTAAAATTGTGAGCAGTTCACTTCATTGATTCATAAGGTCCTTAATCAAGATGTGCCTGTGTCCCTGAAACAGGATGTCACTTGTTCTTTCTTGAAACTAGTGTAATTCTGACCTTGATGGTGTCAAAAACCTCTCTGCCACGCCAGTTGCCATATAACTCAGTCATCCCTGAAACAGGTATGTTTTTCATAGCTCTGTAAACTCAATCTTCTGGTTTCTACCAAATTGTTACAAATGTGAATACCAGAGATTTCTGATATTCAGAACTCATACCTGATGAGAGCTTCTTCCAGTGTCACCTGCTACTCAAACACTTGCTGCAGATTGGAGAAGGATCATCTCAGAACTACCCTTTAAAATTATGAGTGTCATTGAAATGCTGATTGCAAGGAGGAGTGTCATTGAATTCTGTCCAATGTGGAAGGGAAGGACACCTCAGATCAAGTAATTGAATTGTGCACTGGAGTGAATTCAGGCATCGTATCCAGTCAATCAAAGGAACAAGCGTGCATGAAAATGTCAAACCTCAAACAGCCACTTTGTGATTGCCTTTCTTGTTGCATTCTTTTCGCTTATGTAAATTGCTTACACCTTTTTAACTCTGCTTTTATATTGTATGAAGTCTGTGATAATGGAACAGACAAAACAGTAAGCTCGCAGGTGCTTGTTGCAATCAGCACCTTGTCAAGTTTGACTTGTTCCCTTAGTGTTTTGGCTAAACTGCCATTAGAATAGCTCTATGCACTGTGTGTGTATCCAACATGGACACTCATTACTCCTTTCTTTAACAATATGAGAAAATCATTCATATAGGAAATTCATGTAATGGTGTAGTTCAGAATTTTTAGAAGCTTTAGGATCTCAACTTCAATAGGCATCACTAGAATCTTATTCTTTACATTCTTAGGGCCTCATTTTAATTTTTGTGTTTGTTTTATGATTTTCAGCATTATAGCTTTTACAGATATTGCTGTGAGATACTATGTGTAATATTTGAGCAGCATGTGTCTGTTGCAGGAAAGATGAGTCTCAGATCTCAGCATGTACTGACAAAGCACTTTTATTTCCCATTTCTACACAAGTAAATAAGAAATGCAGAAAGTGTTCTGAGTTGCACACAGCCACAAGAGTCGCAGTCTAATCAGTGCACATTAACAAACCCTTTCAGCTAATAACTGTATCTGAGCATTGACACTCTGCAGTATGCAGTGTAACTAATAACTATATCAGAGCATTGACACTCTGCAGGACGCAGTGTAACTAGTGTGCCACATATGTGGGCTGACAAAAGGCCCTCAGCTTGCATATGAACTCGAGTATTCCTTTTGTTAATGTAAAATTCAGTATCACACTAGGAATGGCTCCATCAGTGTTTTGTGGCCTGTTATTGGGCAATCTAGCATGTATTTACTTTGATTCTGTTACTCTTCCACTTGGATTATTTCTGTTTTTTTTGCTCTTGCCTTATCCATTTAACTTTTACACAGCTAATCATGCATCTAATTTCAGTGCTGCCATTACACAGCCTAAACCCTACTGTCATCCCAGAGAACCCAAGTCACACTGTGGTGTTTCTGAATCTGACAAGTTTTGCTGAATTCATCCAGTAACATTGGTAGTGGGGAGTATACAAGAATCCTGAAGCTATTAACCTTACTTTCACCAACACACTTACATTAAAATTGACTGAGGAAACATGCAATCAAAACCTGTAAAGATTAGGAGCTTTAAATGTTGTAAATATTGAAAACACATTGCTTTAGTCTGTACTGTTGCTCATATCAATTACACATCCATCTTATTTTTTATACAGACCTAACAGTCTGTGCAATCAGAGTGCAGTGATACAGTTTTCCATGAGTCTATCCTGTGTGCTGTGCAATGTAACTGTGTCTTACTGATACAGTTCATTTATACATGTACATCTCACAAGCAGCATCGTCCATAACAGTTTGTTCTACAGCTTCTATGGTATCTTCAAACCATTAACTTTATTGTAGGCATTATTGTCTATAGAAAAGTATCAGTACATCTTTATAACAAAAAAAAACAAACCTCTGAAGCTGCATCACAGTTCTAGTATCCGAGAAAGGAAAAGTCAAGCTGATGTTTCAGGAGGAGTGTTCTAATTAATAGCTTAAATCCAAAACTCGAACTTGGCTCTTTATTTCAGAGGCTGTTGGGCATGCTGTGTTTATTTTGTTACTCTGACTTTGAAGGATTTCTCAACTTTGAGCACACTCTGTTTTATTTGTGCCACAGATTGGAGCTTGTCTACGGAGAGCTTCGTTCTCAAAAGTATTTTTACTGCAGATTCAATCCACTCTGTTATCTTTGAAACTGACTGCTTTTTCAATGGAGGGATACCAGATGTAAAAGGCAAATGGAGAGAACAGGTAGACAGCCTTCTGTATGGTCCAGCACTTTGCAGAGATTGAGGGCAGCTTCCATTATCAGGGCAGTAATTGAGACAGCAGGTTGAGTGATCATTGACCCATATCTGAGCGGGACCCGCGGGAACAGTCTGTGAAAACAGGAAAGCAGATTCACTGTGCTGTCTGAAATGACCAGCTGTTGCTGTATAAACACCCAAAATAAATATACTTCTACTGTGAATGTAAATGTGAAACATTTTTATATTTCCTGCTTCATTAGATTTTACACTAGATTGACACAGTAAAATTATTTCCAAACAAACAATTTTTGATTTTATATAGTTTGTTTTTTTAACAATTTAGCACTGCTTTGTTTTTGAATAATGCAATTCCTTATATTTGGAACCAGTTATGTAAATTTTCAATAATTCACTTTCATTAGAAGTGAATCAATTCTAATAGGTTTTGTTTCTCTGAAAATAAAGGTTCCAAGCAATGACCTTGGCATCTGAAGGAGCAGAGAAACAAGATCAAGTTTCCATTTTGGCTTGTTAGACTCACTGACAATGGAAAACCAATGAAAACCTTGTTTTTTAAAACATGTGGATTGTGGTAATGTTTATCCCATCACTTCTGATCAAGCTGTTGAGAAACAGCCTGCCCAGAACAGACAAGATCCCAAGAGGCCAGCACCAAACCTGCTGGCTTTGTGTCAACTCCATACTCAAAATAAGCGACACACTTTTATGTGTGACCCGGTCCTGCCCCACAGCCTGTAGGTAGTTGCATCAGTTAATAATTTTTAAAAACTCTTTACAATGCATCTCCTTTAAACATTGCAAACCCAGTATGTTGCTGGATGCAGGGAAACAGCATTTGAACATACCTCATTTAAGGATGTGGGATATGAATGCATTCAGTATAATAGTTGCAGGAGACCACTTACAGGAGGTTTCTTACACTACCAGAATTTATAATATAGCAGCAAGAAAACTGCCTCAGTGTTCACCTGGGTGGAATTACATCTATTCCTGAGATGTGGGATTCCCTACAGCTTGATCCTGTCTCAATATTTATGGATCCAAGACTCCAAAATGAAATTTCATACTTCTTGCTTGCTATTCTCCACATCATGTCCCAAAATGGAATGATGGCCATGAGCGGTGTTAGGGTTTGAATTGTCTGAACTTTGTGACTGAACAAATGGCTCATAGTCTCATCTTTGTAACCAAAGCAACAGCATATCTCTCTGTTAGACAGAGCCAGACAGAAAAGATCCAGCTAATACTCTGTAGATTGAGTGCTCTACAGCATTGAAATTATCAGGTAGTCTTTTATGTTTTTATGGGGGAGACAGGACACAGTGGTGATATCATTAGATTAGTAATCCAGAAGTCCACGGTGGGGCAAAAATTGAAATCCCACCATGCGAGCTGGTGGAATTTAAATTCAGTTAAGTTTTTAAAATCTAGGATTGGAAGCTAGTTTCAGTAACCATGACCATGAAACTATCATCGATTGTTGGAAAAACCCATCTGGTTCACTGTTTCAGGGAAGGAAATCTGGCAACCTTACCTGGTCTGACCCTACATGTGACTCCAGACCCATTGCAATGTACTTGATTCTTAACTGACCCCCGAAATAGACTAGAGAGCTGATCAGTTCAAGGGCAAGTAGGAATGGGCCAAAAATACTGCAACCACACTCAGCAGCACCCACGTCCCCTGAAAGAATATATTAAAGGAAGCTTTATGTACTGCAGGTTACCGACTCACAAAGGGGTGGAGGAGTCTCAGGACAGCTCTTGTGAACCTGAAAGTGGCAGAGTTTCACTTTAATGTCAACTATCAATAGAGGTCTGGTATTTTGGATTGTACTGTCGATGGCAACCGTGGCTCAGTGAGAGGCACTCACCCCTGCATCTGAAACTTGTGAGTGCCTTTTCCTATTCATATACTTGAGCTTAACAATCAAGGTTGAAACTGAAGTGCAGTACTGAGATGTGATGCCATCTTTCAAAGGAGGCGTTAAACCCAGAATCCGTCTGCTCAGTTGAACCTAAAAGATCCCATGGTTCTATATTGAAGTTGCCTGTCCAACATTGATCCCTCAAACAATATCAATAAACAAAATAACAAGTTACCTGGTCTTGAACACCTTGGTGTTTATGGGATTTTGTCACACACAAATTGGCTGCTACAATACCTACTCTTCAAAAATAGTTCATTGGCTGTTAAGCACATTGTCACATGTTGAGATTGTGAAAGGCATTATACAAATGCAAAACTTTCTATTTTGAATCATGTTCTTTTGTACTGCAGGATTATGCTACTGATTATGAAGTAAAATATCAAATTAAATAAATTCTTTGGAAATACTTGATGTTATGATGTGTAAATTAATCAGTCACTTGTTTTATTTTCTCCTTTGTAATGAATTTGCAAACTACAATTTATTCTGAGAAGCTCAGCTGCTAAACCAGTAGCTTTTGAATTCAGTCAATTCATTGGGTATTCATTGCTATTTCAATGTACTTGTGCCTATTGTCTCTTAATTAAAATGGCTGGTATATGTTCTTTTTCTAATGTTTCAAGCAGCTTTGAATATTGCACTGCCTGCTTGACCATTGTTTTTAGAGAACACAACATTAACAGCACACCTCATGGGAAAAGAGCAGTTCAAATTATATCCTGGATGGCACAAAGCCTCTTCCAATTATGCTAATGCACTATCTGGAGGATATTCTTTTTGTAGTTGTACTGAATAATGTGTTATATCTGCCTCTGCTGAAGAAGTAAAGAAAAAGAATCACAGCAACCGAATATTGTATATGCATCAAATAACTATTGTGATACCTTGGCACTGCTATTCAGTACAGCCAGCATCAGTCCCTTGGTGATTTGTGTAAATTAGATGAATTTCCCCAACTAACTGAAAGCCTTCACAGACCTCCCACAGGCACAGATTTCCCATCAGGCTGACACACTCCACACCAGTCACTCTGGCCATTCAGTACTGATAATTCAAATTTATTTTTATAATTAGAGTGCTGAGTCAAACAGAGGATCATCAGCAGTCCTGAGGGAGATAAACCAGATTCACTGTTTTCTGGGGAGCAGGCAGACAGTCCAGTGGATTAGGTGAGACAAGAAATAGTCCTGAATTGATTCAGAGAGTGAAAGACCGTTAAATTTCATCAACAGCTGGAACGCCTTTGTGTGTTAGATACCAGACTGAGCCCTGCCCATGTACAGTAACTCATAGATCAATGACCCAAGACTGTCTCCACGCACAGCTGCTGACAAGATCAGAACACATGCCAATCATTTGAAGGAAATCATAGAACAGCACAGGAACAGGCCCTTTGGCCCACCATGTATATGCTGAACATAAGGCCATTCTAAACCAATCTCATCTGCCTCCACATGGTCCGTATCCCTCTATTCCCTGCCTGTTCATGTGTCTGCCTAAATGCCTCTTAAACATGGCTATTGTATTTGCTTCTACTACTTCCCCTGACAGCGCATTCCAGGCACCTACTGCCCTCTGCAAACAAAAATTTGCCCTGCACATTTCCTTTAAACTTTATCCCTCTCACTTTAAACTTATGCCCCCCCAGCATTTGATATTATAACCTTGGGAAAGAAACTCCGACTATCCACCCTATCTATGCCTCTCATAATTTTATATACTTCTATCAGGTTGCCCCCTCAGCCTCTGATGCTCTAGTGAAAACAATACAAGTTTGTCCAACCTGTCCTTATAGCTAATACACTCCAATCCAGGCAACATCCTGGAAAGCCTCTTTTGCACCCTCTCCAATATCCTTCCTACTATGTGGTGATCAGAACCGCAAACAATAATCCGAGTGTGGCCTAACTAATGTTTTATACAGCTCCAGTTGTTTGAATTGCCAACTTTTATACTGAATACTCCGACTGATGAAGGCAAGCATACCATATGCAACAAAAACAAAGTTGCTGGAAAATATCAACAGGTCTGACAGCATCTGTGAAGAAAAAAATCACAGTTAACATTTCGGGTCCGGTGACCCTTTCTCAGAATGGCATACCATATGCTTTTTTTACCACCTTATCCACGTGTGTTGCCACTTCCAGAAAACTATGCACTTGCACCGCAAGATCCCTCTGTATATCAATGGTCCAAAGGGTCCTACCACTTTTGTATATTTTCTCTTGCATTTGACCTTCCAAAATGCATCACCACACACTTGTCTGGATTACGTTTCATCTGACATTTCTCCACCCAACTTTGCAACTGATCTAGATCCTGCTGTATTGTTTGACAACTTTCCTCACTATCCACAACTCCACCAATTTTCATGTCAACTGCAAACTTACTAATCAGACCACCTGATTTTCATCCAAAACGTATATATAAGTTACAAACAACAGAGGTCCCAGCACTAATCCTTATGGAACACCAACAGTAATAGACCTCCCAGTCAGAAAAACACCCCTCCAAAACCTACCCTTTATCTTCTTTGACCAAGCCAATTCTGTTTTCAACTTAACAACTCACTGTGGATCTCGTATGACTGAATGTTCTGGGCCAGCCTACCATGACGGACTTTATCAAATGCTTTAGGAAAGTTCATGTAAGCTTAAACTGCCCTACCCTTATCAATAATCTTCATCATTTCCTCAAAAACCTTGTAATTTGTGCACAAAGCTATGCTGACTATCCTACTTTGATGTTTGTTGAGGCAGGAAAGCACTTTACCTCAGAAGGACCCATTGTGTTGCCTAGATCTAGATGAATTGTCAGTATCTCTGTCTTAATTTGAGGCTGAGATTGCATGATTCAATGGGCTTTAAAATGATCTAGCATATCAGACATGGGCTACTGTGGTCTCCAAATTGAAGTGTCTTTTTAAACTTAATTTCCAGAAGTGGCTTTTTAATATGTCTTTCCTAAAGTCCCACAGTATCAGAATGGCACAATGGGATCAGTATTCATCCGTCATAAGTAAATGTTTTCATTCAAGGTTATCTTCTCCCTGGTTGTGGAGACTCAATTCCTGCCCCAATCAGCTAATTCTCCATCCTGTGATCTCCCTCATTTAGATTTGCTGATTGGAAATGTATTCAGTGCTATCTTAATAACTTATTCAAAGTTATACAAAAAACTTTCATCTACAATCAGAGGCATTCTTCGTCATTTTGCTCAGGAGAAACTTTCACCAAGGAGCAGAAATGCACAGTAAGTTACTTACAACCA